TCTAGACAGTGCACAAGTTACACAACAGACACTGAGCACACATGGCCCCTGTCTTCACCAGGAGGCTGTGACAGCAGCTGTTGTTATTTCAACTTGGGGTCTTACACCAGAAAGTGGGTTTTGAAATGATTTTGTAGGTCACAGATCATAGTAATCAGCGCACCCTTGAAACAGTTAATTTGTTTCTCTCAAGCTTGTTTGCTTGAATATTCATGACAACACAATCCCAGCTACTCTGTTTCTGAAAGTTTTCAAACTATTCCATATTTCGTGTTTGCCTTTGTTCTTGAGAGTCAAGCAGTGTATTGAGGGTGACTGGGTGTCACCCTCCACTAGCTACCACCAAGTAGATGAAAGACTTTGCTGTACCCAATAACAGTAATTTCATGTTCTTTGTTGTTGTTCATCCCTCCTCAGTATATGTATAGTACTGTTCAGGGATCCCAGATGATTGTTGTCTTTCCTGAAGGAAGAGAGAAAAGGAAGAAAACTGCATACATACAGAATTTTTTAGTCCAAAAGCAAGTTAATAAAACACCAGCATTTTTAAAATATTACCAGAATTATTAACGTTAAGAAAAGTGAAGGAACACAGCCAAAAGTGCCTGAGTACCGAAGCCCAGAAGACGACCTGTTCAGTGCATTCTGCATCTTCCTAGCTGTAACCTGGGAAAACATGTGGCTAGCCAGAGACATGTTATCTGGCCAGGAAGGGCCTGATGGAAACTTAGTCATTTAAAAAAGCGAGGCCACAGAGCAAACACTACAAATCTCTGTATCAAAACCCCCCAACATCTCCAAGCTCATTTAACTCATCAGCTCAGGAGTAGATTTTCTGTATGAACTGAAAAGTGCATGACCTAATGCATGGTACATAAAGTAGAACCAGTGTTATAGAACCAGTGTTGATGAGGGTTCCTTCAGCAGTCTACCTAATGTTGCTGATGAGGGGTATTCCATCAATACTGCAGCACAAATTATATGGATAAAGGTGTTTTAACATGTTTTTCCTCAACCTTAAGTGACCTGTCAGAATACCAGACAGTCCTGACTGCACATCTCTCTGTTTGGCCCCTTGTTCATGTCCCTCAAAACTCAACTGTGATGTCAGTCACTGAGTTTGCCAGCTGCTTCCTGCTCCCTGTCCTCTTTACCCAACCTTCTCTCCTAAAATCTCTCAAGATGGCATCATCCTGAAGTCATGAAATGCAAATCAAGTACAACTGTCTGATTGAGTGGGGTGAGGGAAAGCTATTCCAAAGTGATCGATCCCCTGATACCATTGCTTGTATCACTGCTTTTTTTTCCAGTCATGTGGCCAACTCTGTCAACCAGTACAAATTGAAATATATGCATGCTGTCCATTCAAACTATTTGTGTTTAGGACACTTAACAAGGTTCTCACTGTTTGTTGGTAGTTGCTGAAAGTGGTGCTGAGAAAATGAATGGATTACAGAAAAGGAAGTAGAGAAGCTCATTAATTTTTTTCTACTGTTCAGCTTTCTGTGGTTTCTGATGAACCATGCTGGCTACTCAGTACTCTGAGCTATGAATTCAGGTGAAGGTGGAAGTGGATGAGTGCGTGGATTATCAAGGAAAGTACCACAAAGCCATCATGTATAACAGATCCAGACGCATGTTTTCCAAAGAGTTAAGCTGTTGCTCCTGTTTTAGTCAAATGGAAAGGATGTGACATTTCATGGCAACATTGCTGTAGGGACTGACTGTTGTCAACTAACACATTTTGCAAGCATTAGTGCCTAGTATTGACAAGATTATATGTCACTTAAAATTGCATTAATCAAAATGCATTAACTAACAAGACCTAAAAAAGCAAAGGTAAAATACAAGACCTCTTAGCATTTGTCCCAGTTTTCATGGAACAGAATATTCCATTTCATACTGAGGAAAATTATTTTTTGTCAGTGACTTATAATTGATGAATATTAAAAAAAAGAAGTATCAGAGCTTCTGTAAAAAGAAAAAAGTTTTTTCTTTGGGAATGGATAGTGCCAAAATAATGTTATTTTGTGTAAATAGACTTCATTTTGCTTAAATAAGCTGTCACATGCTATCATTTCTCTCCTTCCACAGCCTACACATGTAATGAGCAAAGCAAAGATGTGTAATTTCAATCAGACCTTTATTTACTGTTGAAGGCAAACATATAGTTAATTGCAAAAAACCAGTAAAAGATGTGACCAATACTGCAACAAGCAAAAGGAATTACAGATTCAGAATTTCATTAGGAAGAAGTTAAGCAGAAATCCATTTTACTTGGATATGACAAAGGTGTTAATTATAGTTCCTTGGATACTAATAATATAATAATTCTTAAACAAAAATCCACTTTAAAATAAGTTCAGCACCAATAAGTTGGAAGCTGAAGAGTAAAGAAACATTGTGCAATTTATAGGAATCCCTTTTCTTTTAGGACAAGTCCAGTCAATTAGTGGAAAAGATGTTACTGATCTTATATGTATGTATATTTTTCTGTTACTCTTTGTTGTTGGGTTTTTTTTATTCTGGAAATGTGTAGACATCATCCCTTATAATTTGAATTATACTTATTATTACTGCCTGTCTACCTGCGACTTTCGGTATAATACGTCAAGGTCCCAAAGATGAGAACACATTCCTGTTTGTATAGAGCATCATGACAAAAATCCTGGGGTTTTGTAGATCAAAATATATGTCCATTGGCTGGTGATTTCTCTGGCCCTTTATCAGGTGCTCTTCCTCCTAGAAGGCCATTGGCATTGAAGAATGAGTCAGATATGTTGCTTTGAGCACAGTCTCCTGCTTGTGGTTATTTTCTTTTCCACGGGCTTTATGGTTCCTCCTCATCTTTTGATGGGCTATCATGTGGTAAAAGAAGAGCTATGGGACCCCCAGGAAAGTTGGCAACCAGCAGTGAGGCTGCTTCTGCTGGAACAATTTGTCCTGCTCCTTGTCCACATACTCATTAATAGCTCCAGTGGTTGCAACCTGCTGCCAGCTTCTGTCTTCCCAAGAGGTCCTCGGGCACTGGTACACAGACAGGACATCTGCATATGTCTGTGCGTCTTTGTTTATTGCAGTTGATCTGTGGGTGTGTAGTAGACCCAACACTTTCCCAGAAAGAGTCTGACTGTGTGTGGGCAAGTGGATGTACACTAATTTCATAGTAGGTATGGACAAGATCCAGAGGTGGATCCACAACACCTTTACTTCCAGCCTCTCAAAACAAGTAGGTCAACCAGGGCACTCCTTGTTCTGGGTTTCCTTTTTACTTTCATTAAAACAGAAAACATGCCAAAACAATGAAGAGATTCTTAAGTAAGGGAACATTAAAACTTTCAACATTAATTAGGCACTCAGAAGATTAATCATACATATGCAACTCACTCCCTGTTGCAGTGGAAAAATTGTTTTCCTTAACATATTTCCATAACATTTAGAATCCTAGAATTATAGAATAGCTTGGGTTGGAAAAGACTTTAAAGACCATCTGGTTTCATCGATATTGACATTTATGCTTGTTTATGCTGAAGAGCAGTTGAACTCAGGAACATAACGTCTGGTGAACCATCACATGAGGCAGTGGTTTATCTGCATCACTGATTTTTTTTAGAGCCCAGCAGTATGTAAAAAACCTTTTGGTTTCTCTCTGTCTTTCAGAATAAGTTGTATAGAATATGAATGCTCTTATTCATCTTTGTTCTGCTACATTACAATGTTAAGATATTTTATATTGTATCATAGTTGATCATTATAGTGTGAGCACCTGGACTCTATCCCGATCCTGCAAAGAATTGTGCATGCCCATACCTTTATGTTATTTACATAATATACTGGATGTGAACAGCACTATTTTTCTTAGGAAAAAGAAGAGTGAAGGAGTAGTAGAGTAGTAAACTAAACTAAATAAGTACTTTGTGTTTCTAGATAGAATCTCATAGTACAGTCACCTTCTTAAAAAATGTAAACATTACAAAAAGCTTCCAGTTGGTTAGATTTATTTTTTTATAAGGCACTGAGTAACTTATTCACTACTTTCTCATTCATCAAGTGAGTTCTTCAGGAAAAGACATCCTGTCAGGTGCTGCAGACAAAGCTATGAGCAGCGTCAATACTGTTAATGCCTCAAATAATGACTGAAAGGGTTGCAAAATGATACATTGTTATCTGGCAGGCATTGATCATAATTACATCACTGATAAAGGCAAAGTATGTCAAATGTTGTGTTTTAAATATGCCCTTCAATTAGAATAAAAAATGTAATGGAAATAATTTCAATAGTAGCTGTGTGATCCTTCTGAATGCAAAATGTAAATGTTTTGCATATCCTCAGGATGAAAGGAGTTATCACTCAAAGCTATTCACTTATTAATTTTCATTTAATAGTCATGCTATATCAGACATTGTAGATCGTTCATCATTTTGCTTGATGACACTGCAGAACCCTGATAACTATGCTCTGTGTAAAATTTAATTCCCTGGCTTACCTGCTTGCTTGGATTGAACTGCAGAATCTTAATTTGCTGTCATGGTTTCCATGGTCCTTTGCTCATGTCATATTGTTGTTACAATGAATGCGTTGCACATACAGCATAGCCTTCATCTTCTTACAGCAGAGCACAGACCCTTTCATCCTTGCAAAGTGAATAATTAAACTAGGATTTTAATGTTTGTGCTTGCTTTTGGGTTTATTAGCTCTAACTGTGAAAACTTAATTATTTTGTAAGCTCCATCTGACTAGCCCTTGAAAAAATGGACTAGAGTTTTCTGCATATCTGTTCTGTGGCTTGAAGCTGTCTCAAAATAGCACTGTTGTAGAAATGGATTCTACTTTGCCAGTTGAATAGGTGGCTTTTTTATCATTACAAGCTTCAGATTTGCGTAAGGACTACAAGTGAGATGCAAAATTACGGAGGATGTTTGTTGATAAGGTCCTATGGTGTAACATAATTCTTCTGTTGTACCTGCCTCACTTGAATTTGGTTTTTTTGTTTCTGCAGACTCCAGAGGAAGGAGCCTCTACAACCATCTATGCAGCAGTATCGCCTGAGATGGAAGGAGCTGGTGGCTGCTACATTTACAATGAGGAAAGGACAAAATCGGCTGACATAGCATATGATGAGGAGCTGCAGAGAAGGCTCTGGACAGAAAGCTGCAAGATGGTTGGGATTTCTGATGAAACCAGCAGACTTCACTAGAAGAAGCCACTTTCAGCTGGGTAAATGAAATGCATTGAAAAGCATCTTAGGTGAATCCTTGAAGCATCAGTCATCATCCTGGAAATCACTGTTCCGTCCCAAAGGCAAACGTGAACAGCTCTGTTCTTCACTTGAACCCCAAGTCTGCTAGGGTGTGGGGGGAGTATTCCCACAGAAAGATGTAGTGGTTGGTTTTAAATCTAACCATCAGTTTTGTAAATCATGATGTTTCAGTCCGTGATTAAAATACAGTCTTTAACCTTGTGCGGAGTTGAGTTTTCCTTTTTCTGTTATACAAAAATAACACTTTCTCTGGTGAACGTATTGCATCTGGGACATTTTGCACATATAAGTTACTCTTTTAAATCAGTTTTAAAAGTTGAAGCTTGATTTCCTTAAGCTTCATTAATCTTTAAGACACTTTATAATGAATGTCAGCTTGTTCTAATGCAGAAATTTGGCATTCATGATCATGATGTTGTTTCTATCATAAGGTTAGTTTTATATGTCAGCTTTTATCCAGAGGTATTAACTGAAGGTCAGAACAAAAAAAAGTAAATAAATAAGGTCTTCTTCGGATAGGATATTGAATTTCCTTGTTTGCAGTTCAAGTTCATCTCTCCTTTAAAGATGAGGAAGGGATCAAACATAATAATGGCAACACTGGCTTTGGCAGAGGACTCACTTGGTCTATTGGCTTATTAGTGGGCTAAGATTACTTCTCCCCTTTTCTCTTGAACCCATGTAAACTTGCATCCTCAGCTTCTTTCACTTTCTTTGACAATGAGATTCACTCATGTACTCTTGCATGAAGAATCACCTCCTTTTGTTGATTTTGAACCTAGTTCATATGAGTTTCAAAACTAGAGTTCATGGTTTTGAAGAGACAGCAATTAATGCCAGCCCACTTTTTCCTATTTTGCTAAGAGTTTTGGAAATGTACAATGTGTCCTTCCTAAACTGTGTCTTTGCCATGTTAAAGAGTAGCCCTGTCTATTCATCCAACTTACACAGTAGCTAGAGGGTATTTTCCCTTTTGTTCTTTATTTCTTTTCTAAAATTTCCTAACAGCTATTTTATTTTTAAGTTTATTTGACTGTCTCTGAGTGTGGATCTGATATTTTTTTGTGAAGCTATTTCTGGTAAACCCTAAGATTTCTCCCCTCAGTGGGATAGTGGTCAATTAAGATCCTATCAGTTTTGAAAACACTTCAGTGTCTACAGTTCAGGGGTCTCTACTTATGTCTACCAAAGTGAATCTTTAAGAATGATGTTCACGTTCGTGGAATAAAAACAAAACAGATATGGGGCAATATAAAGATAGCCTGAATTTATACAAGCTCAAATATCTAGAATAAAAAAACTGGATTGAAGATAGAAACATTTTAATAGAAATGGTGGTAAACCATGAGAAACTTACCCTGAAAGTTTCAGTCAAGATTATAAATCTCACAAAAACATCTAGAAGTCTCCATGGAGACCTGGCAGCAATCTCGTGGTACTTATAGGGGGCCTACAGGAAAGATGGAGAGGGACTTGGGGAGTGTAGTGATAGAATGAGTGGTAATGGTTCTAAACTGAAAGAGAGAAGATTTAGATTAGACATTAGGAAGAAATACTTCACTGTGAGGGTGCTGAAGCACTGGAACATGTTGCCCAGAGAAATTGTGGATGTCCCATCCCTGGAAGTGTTCAAGACTGGATGGTGCTTTGAGCATCCTTGTCTATTGGAAGCTGTCTTGGCCCATGGGAGAGGAGTTAGAAACAAATGGTCTTTAAGGTTCATTCTGACCCAAACCATTCTGTGATAGTCTGATCTCTCCTCAGTGAAAGAGTCTTTTGAAGCAGGAAAATTGCCCTGTGTCTAGGGAGCCTGAACTCTTACTGTTAGTGGAGTGAGCTGTACTCTACTCCCATCTTGTTGATTTTAGGTGTCGTCTGAAAAAGCAGCATAATCGTATAAATGTCCTTGCATTTCCTTTTTTAAGAAATACACAGCAAAATAGAGTAATAGGTGGATCTAAAGCTTGTATTCACTTTGAGGCACTGGAAATCACTGCATGGGAGAACCAAATGCAAACACAGTGTTGTGCTCTCATTTGCAGCAGGCTAGAAACAATATGAACGTGTTTCTATGCACTGAACCCTGGGCTAATATCCCTTTTGGGCATTTTAGCTCGAACTTGGTGCTTTGCTCCAAGTGGCCTTACCTCCAGCCTTTGGTTCAGAAGATCACATCTAACTGAAAGTAAGCATACCAATACATCCAGAGACTAGCAAGGAGATGCACAGGGGAAAAAAAAATAAAAAATAACATGAACAAAGAAAAGCATCTGGGAACAAAAGTGATAAACAAATTCCCCTCAGCATTAAGCCATGCATGATCTATTCCTAGCTTCTCAGTATATACAAAGCTTAGCACCAGGAAATTTATCACTCAGTCACTATAGCACTTTCTTTTTATGACTGGTTGACTTTTTTTTGGTAAGTGAATGTAGCGCTTGTGAAATGCGCCAGACTGACACTCTGGGAACTAAATTCCTCTGTTTATTCACGGATCATGCACAGGATGCAGTAAGCCTGCTAGACAGCCAACATTTTGATGTTGCCATAGCATTCCCACAGAACATCATTGCTGCTAGAAGTGTGTTCAGGATTATTCAAACTAGATGGGACCAACTTACCACCAGTTTTAACTCTCCTGAAGCTCCACAATATTTGCACAGGCAGTTTCAAGTGGCATAGGGATTGGTAAAAGAGCAAACAATAAAGAGAGCTAGTCACACTTTCAGTGTAATCTGAACCACTTTTTTAACAGTCTCAGACCAACGAAATCTGTTTTAAACAACATGGAGAACATGGTTTGTGAGAACCAAGAACACAGATTGTACCTGTGTGAGGGGAAAAAAAATAAGTATCTTAAAACCAGGGATTTCTAGAGCAGTGCAATTCCATGGAGATACAGTTGAGCTAGTTGCAAAAGAGTTACCTCAGGAACTAAAAACGGAAAACTGTGTCAGCTTTGCCATGTCACATAAGTACATGAGCTTGTCTGGAGCAAAACCCAGAAGGGTTATAAAGTGCTGTGTGTCACTGGGGACACTCATTTGTGATACTGCTGCAAAAATCCAAAATAATTCTTAGCATATCTATTGAGGAAAAAAATAGCATGTAAAAACATGTAAAAAGATGACAATGATTTTACTTCTGCACAGAGAAATGGCTAGAGCTGATTTAATTTTCACATTTCAAGGTCATGGAATTTCTGTGTTTCACTTCACTGAATACATGGCTGAGAGGTGGCTTATGCCTTTGCTGTAGCTGCATACATGTAGGAAAAATACCTGGGAGCTTTTTAACCTTGCAAAGAAAGGCAAAACAAGCTCCAGTAATCATAAATTGAAGGTAGACAAATTAACCTTCCAACATGAAAACATGTTCCCTCTCTGTGAGGATAATTTCCTTTCAGAATATGTAGATTTGATACCTGAAGATAATGAAAAGATGCCTCTGAAATGATACCTGGCAAGGAGGCCAGGTAGGCTCTTAAGCAAAGTAGGTCAGTCACGGTGAAGTCCACAATGACAGCACTTATTTTGATAAGTATGAGAGTGACCCATTCCTCACAGCTTCCAAAATGGATATTTCCCTGTCAGTTTCTTGGAAAAAAATGATAACTTCCTCAGTAATTAACTAGTTTATTTATGAACTGTGGGGAAATTAGCTGTATACTGAAAGAGTAAGTGCTTTAATCTGTTTGTGAATACTTATTATTCACACATAGTAGCTACATTCTTGCTTCCATTTCAAAACTGATTTAGAGCCCTAAATGTGGAACCACTAGATGCACTTCTGCTGTGTTATTTTATAAATTTTTAAACTTCATAGTTTACTTTTTGCACAACTATCAATTACTTTAGTACACAGAATTGATATAGCATAGAAACAAAGGACTTTGTTATTTAACATCAGACTTGCTACTGCCTCTTCCAAATGCACAGTGGTTTTAGCCCTAAATATAACAATACATGGCAGATATTGAAATGCTCATCCTAAATAAATTTTCTACATGCAAGCTTTGGCTCTTGTACAGCTCCAGTGTTAGACTGACTTTGCTCATTCTATGACATGGTTTTTGCTCCAGCTGCCTCCATGGAAAGACAAAATTGGATTCCAGTGAAGTTAACATGAAATCTGTCACAGATAAGATAAAACTCTCATGATTTTAAGAGTATGAAGGCTGAGGATGTTGACTAACCTGCAATAACTGAAGAACTCAGTGCAAAATGTGTATTGTACAACATCAGGCCAGGCAAGATGGGTGAGCTACAAAGAATTTCTTGAAGGTAATTTTCTTCCTTTTTAAAACAAATCCACTGTGTTTTGGCAACCTGCTGTGGTAATACTGAAGGAAGGAAACAGACCAGTGGCCAAGAGAGCTGTTTTCAAATACATGTAGCTATTGGCTTCCATACTGTACAGATCAACCCTTGTTGGCTCTCTCCCTTTGGAAAAGGACCTTAGCCAATAATCCCTTTCACACAGGCAGAATGTAGCAGTAACCATCATTTATTTAAACAAACACTGTCTAGACTGAAACCAACCACCTTAAAGTGGAAGACTTCCTAACCTCAGAAAAGAAAGAAAAGGGCCAAAAACCAGGCTATGGCACTTTCTGAGTGATATTTAATCTGGTCACGCCTTCACAGGCAGAATGCAAGACACATTAAGATGGTAAGCAGGCTTATGTCCTTTCCAGAGAATACAGATCAACAAACATGGCCTTCCCCTCTATCTTGGCATTGCCTGAACTCTGAAAATGAGCTCAAGTAATATCACTGTTTGCAAACAGATCCATTTAAACGATCATTTTTCTTCTCTTTTCTGAAAGTAGAAACAGAATTTATTTCAACTTGCTGACATTTATGGAATTCATTATTTAGTCCATATTGATCTGCATATATTCAAGATGTCTGATGTATCTCAGGCTTTTTTAAAAATACTGAAGGAAAAACAAATTCCTTTTTAAGAAATTAAGGATAGGTAAGGGCCAAATTCCATTGAAGACAATGTTGGTCCTTACAAGAAAAGTAAGACCATGCTCAAGAAAGTTAGCGTGAAATATTTTCACAGAACTTCTCCCTTAACTACATTTTACAGCTCTGCTGAAGTTAATGAGACATCCCAGAATCACTGTACAAAGACACATAACTTAATAGCAGAAGAAGCTATAAAAACCTTGTATCATTTAAATTTGATA